TGTTCTGACCCAGTCGTCCTATCACAATGTGGTTCTTGTGAAAGTGGCTCAGATCCTCACGCTGCCCATTTTTCCTGCTTCTAACACATCAACTCTGTTCACTGTCTGCCTGGTATACAGGTTAGGGTTAGGGTTAGGGAGAAGCAGATACGTTCACATCTTTGTTCAAAAAACAACAAACCAGATCTCTGCCGGTGTACACATGTTAATTATAAAAACACTATGACATACTATAAGCCTATTTGTAAACCAATCAGACACCAGCAACCAGTGACCCTTCCTAAGCCCCGCCTCTTTTTGCTCTGTGCTCCAATAACAGTTCCTGTAGTTAGATATGCTACATGCTAGGCTCGTCTATGACACTATGAAGATGGTTAAAAGGTAAAAGTGAATCAGTTATCATGATTTCTTGTCGATCAGCTGATCCTTCCAGGTAGTAAACAGGAAGCAAGTTGCACTGACCTTCTTCCCATAAGCAGCTCCCATTCCTTCTCTGTTGTGGCAGCAGGTTCACACAGTCCTCCTGTCTTCCTCTCCACCACTTCTTCTTTTCCCAGCAGCCTCTGGGCCCCTACCGCCTCCTCTTTGCCCCCCCGACCGCCACCTGGCAGCCTGACAGTCTGGTCACTGGGGTCAGTTAGCCCGCCAAAATCTGAGGCAGCTATATACCGCTGAACCAAAACTGAGCCGAGAACAGAGCTGGAAAGGTCGGTGTCTGACTGTGAGCAGGAGCAGGAGCAGGAGCAGGAGCAGGAGCAGGAGCAGCAAGAGCAGGAGGAGCAGGAGGAGCAGGAGCAGGAAGTGTCACAGCCACCTGTTACTGCCTGACTCTCTGCTCTCAGCTGTGAGGAGTTAAGATGCTCCAAGTGGATTAAAGTAATTGAAGGTGACAGAGAAAGAACAGTGAGGTCTGAATCTGTTCATGTAACTTTCTGAGTGAAAAATAAAGAAATGAAAATAATGTTTGTGTCTCTGACCATTAACATTTGGTCTGTAAGGCTCCTCATCAGGAGGAGATCTAGAATCAAAATCAGAATTATGTTTATTGCCAAGAAGGTTTTTAAATCTATGAGGAATGTGTCCTGGTGCATTGGTGCATAAAATATACAAATCACACAAAAGTCACACAGAAAAATAAAGTACTTTCAAAATTTAAATAAATAAAGATAAGAAGACGGGAGCGCATTAATGTAATGCATACTGTAAATACAGGGTGGGTATAAGAGTCAGTGTCAGTGGGGGATCCGGGCCTTGTTAATGAGGCCAGCTGCAGACAGAGAGAAACTGTTTTTGTGGTGAGAGGTTTTGGTCGCTAGAGGGGAGTGTTTCAAAGAGTTTGTGACCGGGGTGGGAGGGGTCAGCCACAATCTTGCCTGCACGCCTCAGGTCCTAGAGGCGTACAGGTCCTGGAGGGATGGCAGATTGCAGCCAATCACCTTCTCAGCAGATCGAATGATACACTGTCCTTGGCAGTGGCTACAGCGTACCATGTGGTGATAGATGAGTTGAGGATGGACTCGATGATGGTGGTGTAGAAGTGCACCATCATTGTCTTTGGCAGGTTGAACCACCTCAGCTGCCGCAGGAAGTAAATCCTCTGCTGGGCTCCCACTTGAGGTCCTGGGTAACGATGGTACCCAGGAAGCGGAAGGACTCCACAGAGTCAACTGGGGAGTCACACAGGATGATGGGGGCGGGTGGGGCTGGGTTCTTTATGAAGTCCACAACCATCTCCACTGTTTTTAGAGCCTTTAGCTCCAGGTTGTTCTGGCTGTACCAGGTCACCAGAAGCTCCACCAGAGATGAGCCCAATGAGGGAGGTGTCATACATGAACTTCAGCAGCCTGACGGACTGGTGACTGGAGGTGCAGCTGCTGGTGTACAGGGAGAAGAGGAGAAAGAGTACAGCCTTGGGGGGATCCGGTGCTGATGGTCTGGGAGACATTTTTCCCCAGCTTCACCTGCTGTTTCCTGTCAGACAGGAAGTCTGTGATCCACCTACAGGTGGAGTCAGGCACAAAGAGCTGGTGAGATGCAGGGGGAGGGACTGGTGAAGTGGGGCTGGTGAGGGGTGTCACGCGGGATGGTGTCAGGACTGCTCCTTTGTCTGTCGAAGCGACAGTAGAACTCATTTAGCTCGTTTGCCAGTCGTAAGTCGTTGATGGAGTGGGGGGTTTTGGGCTTGTAGTTGGTTATCTGTCTGAGCCCCTTCCAGACAGAACCAGAGTCGTTGGCTGAGAACTGGTGTTTGAGTTTCTCAGAGTACTGTCGTTTAGCTTCTCTCACTAAACTTGTACTTTGACTCCTTAAACTTGTTCCTGTCCCCACACCTAAACGCTTGCTCCTTCTGCAGCTGTAACTGTCTGAGTTTGGCTGTGAACCAGGATTTGTCATTGTTGTAACTCACCCTGGTGCATGATGGTACACAGCAGTCCTCACAGAAGCTGATATATGATGTCACAGCCTCTGTGTACTCATCCAGACTTTCAATAGCAGTCCTGAAAACATCCCAGTCAGTAGAGTCCAAACACGCCTGAAGGTCCTCCACAGCTTCACTGATCCACTGCTTTGATGTCCTTACAACAGCTTTACAGAGTTTAAATTTTTTGCCTGTATGAAGGAATCAGGTGGACCATGATGTGGTAAGAGAGGCCTAGTGCAGTGCGGGAGACGGCGTGAAAAGCTCTAAGGACTGTAGTGCAACAGTGATCCAGTATGTTTTTCTCTCTGGTCGGGCATTTAATAAACTGTTTGTATTTGGGGAGTTCGTGGCTGAGGATTCCTTTGTTAAAGTCACCAAGGACAATAACTAAGGAGTCCGGGTTAGTCCGCCCCACACACAGTATCTGGTCGGCGAGCGTGCGCTGTGCTTGCTCATGGTGGTACTGTTGGGTCTCTGTAATTAATGTTAAAGAGTTCGGTCTAGACCTGCTCTATTTGAAAAGTGTCCTGAGATAACTTCTGTTATGAATTGGCGCTATACAAATAAAATTGAATTGAATTGAATTGAATTGAATTGTGCCTCCTGCACGTTGGCCTGCGGTGGAATGTAAACACTGACCAGAATGAATGAAACGAACTCACTGGGGGGAGTAAAAAAGTTTGCAGTTTATGATGAAATATTCCACATTAGAAGAGCAGTGCTGTTGGATCACTGTCACATCGTTGCACCAGCTACTGTTGGTATAAAAACAGATTCCTCCACCCTTTGTTTTGCCGGAGAGTTCTGTGTCACGATCTGCTCTGAAGAGTTGGAAGCGCAGAGTCCGGTATCGATCCACACAGCCACGTCTCTGGCGGAGATGCACGAGCGCACCAGCATGTTTCTCTCTCCTCCTGTGTTTCACTGCGCGAGCAAAGGTGAGCGCACCTTGGCGCCATCTTAGATGTCAGAGGTAGAGGTAGAAGATGTAGAGGAGTCCTGATTAGCTTGATGACTTATTGGCTTATAGCTAATATTTAACAACTGCTACCCATGCTAATATAATGTTAGCTTTATGCCCTGTTAGCTGATTGTAGCTCAGCCTTGCTAATATTTTGTTAGTTTTAGGCCCTATTAGCTGAGGATAGGTGGAGCCTCCTGCCATGGTCCTGCTTGACTCCCATTGCTAATATCACTGATATTATTGTTATTATTATTATTATTACAACAGTTAATATTATTACTATTGTCACTGCTCATTGTCCCCCATCGTTATCGTCGTCATCATCATCTTCATGTTCATCATCAGTCACTACTATTAGTGTAGTTGTTGCTACTGTTGTTGCTGTGCACCTGTCTGTCTGTCTTTCTCTCTGGCTCCCTCCCACCCACCTAGAGCCGAGGTGTCTGTCCTAGGTTTCTGCCTTTTAACAGGCAGTGTTTCCTTGCCCTTGTCTCCAAGGTCTTGCTCATGGTGGTACTGTTGGGTCTCTGTAAATAATGTTATAAAGAGTTCGGTCTAGACCTGCTCTATTTGAAAAGTGTCCTGAGAAAACTTCTGTTATGAATTGGTGCTATACAAATAAAATTGAATTGAATTGAATTGAATTGAATTGAAAAGCTTAGCCTTGCTACTAGATAGATAGATAGATAGATACATTATTTATCCCGAGGGAAATTCAAGAATATTAATATTATTATTACATTATTTTACTGTTAGCTGATGGTAGCCTAGCCTTGCAAATATTATGTTAGCTTCATGCCTTGTTAGCTCATGATTATGTAGTTGAACGAAGGCACAATGACAATATAGAACTGTATCATCTGCATAGAGATGAACATTACTAATATCCATTGTAAATGACAAAGGGCTGAGAACTGATCGTTGTGGATTGATCTTTTGCCCCGTTATGTTGTTTGTATTGTTTCCATCAGTATTGTTGGAAAATATTAAATATAGAACAACTGTGCTCTATGGAGGACTAAAGCTGCCATTATTATAAATAAATAACCAAATAAATCAAGGAATAAAGACAGAATTGTGGAAAATAAAAAGGTATATTTAAAGATCAATAAATAGAAATAGAAAACACCCTTTTTTTGTATTAATTTATTTTCATATGTATTTTAAAATTTATTATTTACTGTTTACACTAATTTGTGTTTACATTTATTTATGTATTTATTGACTCATATATGGAAAATAAATAAATGTAAACAGAAATTGGGAAACTGTTTTTTTTACATTTCATTATTATGAATTAACAATCAAGGCCTTTATTATTCTTTATTACTTAATTGTTTTATTTATCAAAGTAATTATTTAATTTCCTATAATAGCAACTTTAGTCCTCCATATGCTCAGCCTGCGTTTTCACCAATACAAAGATTAAAAGATCATCTCTGAATCTGAGGAACTGTTATTAACGTTGTTCTGACATTTCATAGAATAAGTTAAATTAGATCAAATCAATGAATTCATCAATTAATCAATAACGAAAATGCAGCCCTGTATGAATGAAGCACAGAGGTTCTGCCATCAACAAAGAAACAAACAAATAAACACACCACCATTGAATGACTTCACACTGACTGTGTTTACTTATTTACACAATAAATAAAATGCCAATAATCGATAATCAAACGTGTAGACATGATTGAAACAGAGCGGAGAGCTGCAGAGTGATCATGTGATTTAATATTTCATTGACTCCAGGTCTGGTCCGGTCCAATCTCTACTGGTCTGGTCCGGTCTCTGGCCCGTCATGGCTTGGCCCCGACATCTGCATGAAGAGCTCCCTCAACTCTGTGATGTCATCATCGAGGGACGGCAGGGGCGGGACTGAATGCTGCTCACGCTCCTCGATGAAGTCCCACAGACGGACGCTGTTCATGAACTGATGGAACAAAAACACTGTAAAAACTACAAATCCAAGCAGCTCTAAAACTACAACTTCGAATCAAAATGGCTGTCACAGTTTCTGACCCGCACGTTCCCCTCGGAGCTCAGCTGTTTCCTCGGCCGGTCGGGTTCCGCTCGGGTTCCGTCGGGGAAGGCATGAAGATACAAACACTTTCCTCCGAATGGACATGAGCCACGACCCTGATCGAAATACTTACAGGCCTTCTTACTGCGGAGACATAGTAAAGACAGAGTAAAGACTGACACTAAAGAAAGAGAGATAGTAAAGACAGAATAAAGACAGAATAAAGACACAGAATAAAGAGAGAGTGAAGACACAGAATAAAGACAGAGTAAAGACAGAATGAAGACACAGAATAAAGACACAGAATAAAGAGAGAGTAAAGACAGAATGAAGACACAGAATAAAGACAGAGTAAAGACAGAATGAAGACACAGAATAAAGACAGAGTAAAGACAGAATGAAGACACAGAATAAAGACACAGAATAAAGAGAGAGTAAAGACAGAATGAAGCACAGAATAAAGACAGTAAAGAGAGAGTAAAGACAGAATGAAGACACAGAATAAAGACAGAGTAAAGACAGAATGAAGACACAGAATAAAGACAGAGTAAAGACAGAATGAAGACGAGACTAAAGAAAGAGAGTAAAAAAAGATAGTAAAGACAGAATAAAGACACAGAATAAAGAGAGAGTAAAGACAGAATGAAGACACAGAATAAAGAGAGAGTAAAGACAGAATGAAGACACAGAATAAAGAGAGAGTAAAGACAGAATGAAGACACAGAATAAAGACAGAGTAAAGACAGAATGAAGACGAGACTAAAGAAAGAGAGTAAAAAAAGATAGTAAAGACAGAATAAAGACACAGAATAAAGAGAGAGTGAAGACAGAATGAAGACACAGAATAAAGACACAGAATAAAGAGAGAGTAAAGACAGAATGAAGACACAGAATAAAGAGAGAGTAAAGACAGAATGAAGACGAGACTAAAGAAAGAGAGTAAAAAAAGATAGTAAAGACAGAATAAAGACACAGAATAAAGAGAGAGTGAAGACAGAATGAAGACACAGAATAAAGACACAGAATAAAGAGAGAGTAAAGACAGAATGAAGACACAGAATAAAGAGAGAGTAAAGACAGAATGAAGACACAGAATAAAGACAGAGTAAAGACAGAATGAAGACGAGACTAAAGAAAGAGAGTAAAAAAGATAGTAAAGACAGAATAAAGACACAGAATAAAGAGGAGTGAAGACAGAATGAAGACACAGAATAAAGACACAGAATAAAGAGAGAGTAAAGACAGAATGAAGACACAGAATAAAGAGAGAGTGAAGACAGAATGAAGACACAGAATAAAGACACAGAATAAAGAGAGAGTAAAGACAGAATGAAGACACAGAATAAAGAGAGAGTAAAGACAGAATGAAGACACAGAATAAAGAGAGTAAAGACAGAATGAAGACACAGAATAAAGACAGAGTAAAGACAGAATGAAGACGAGACTAAAGAAAGAGAGTACAGGAACTAGAAAAAGAGATCACATCTCTCCTGTACTAGCTTCTCTGCATTGGCTCCCTGTAAAATGTAGAATAGAATTTAAAATCCTCCTCCTCACCTATAAAGCTCTTCATGGTCAGGCCCCTTCATATCTTAAAGAGCTCATAGTACCCTATTACCCCTCTAGAACACTACGTTCTCTGAATGCTGGGCTACTTGTGGTTCCTATAGTCTCTAAAAGTAGAACAGGAGCCAGAGCCTTCAGTTACCAAGCTCCTCTCCTGTGGAACCAGCTTCCAGTTGTGGTTCGGGAGGCAGACACCCTCACCACATTCAAGAGTAGGCTTAAGACATTCCTCTTTGATAAAGCTTATAGTTAGGGCTGGATCAGATGAGTCCTGAACCATCCCTTAGTTATGCTGCTATAGGCCTAGACTATCGGGGGATTTCCCATGGTGCACTGAGCTCCTCTCTTCCTCTCTCTTTCTTCACTCATTCATGTCCCATTAATGCATGTTACTAACTTCACTTCTTCCCCGGAGTTCTTGTGCTTTCTCGTCTCGCAGGTTCTCATGGATCCTGGTGGAGCCTCCTGCCATGGTCCTGCTTGACTACACTTGCCAATATCACTGATATTATTGTTATTATTATTATTATAAGTATTATTATTGCTACGGTTACTGTTGTTGCTGTTGTCACTGCTCAGTGTCCCCCATCGTTGCTGTTGTCATGTTCATCATCATCAGTCACTACTATTAGTGTAGTTGTTGCTGTGCGTCTCTCTCTCCCTCTCTCTCTCTCTCTCTCTCTCTCTCTCTCTCTCACCCCAACTGGTCGAGACAGACGACCACCCACCTAGAGCCGAAGGATCTGTCCTAGGTTTCTGCCTTTTAACAGGCAGTTTTTCCTTGCCCTTGTCTCCAAGGTCTTGCTCATGGTGGTACTGTTGGGTCTCTGTAAATAATGTTTTAAAGAGTTCGGTCTAGACCTGCTCTATTTGAAAATGTCCTGAGATAACTTCTGTTATGAATTGGCGCTATACAAATAAAATTGAATTGAGGAAAGAGAGTAAAGAAAGAGAGTAAAGACAGCGTAAAGACAGAGTCAAGACAGAGTCAAGACAGAGTAAAGACAGAATAAAGACAGAGTAAAGAGAGAGAGTAAAGACAGACTAAAGACAGAGTAAAGACAGAGAGTAAAGACAGAATAAAGAAAAAGAGTAAATACAGAGTAAAGACAGACTAAAGACAGAGAGTAAAGACAGACTAAAGAAAAAGAGTAAAGACAGAGTAAAGACAGCTTAAAGAGACAGAGTAAAGACAGAATAAAGACACGGAATAAAGACAGAGTAAAGACAGGATGAAGACAGAGACTAAAGGAAGAGAGTAAAGACAGCGTAAAGACACAGTAAAGACAGAATAAAGACAGACTAAAGACAGAGTAAAGACAGAGAGTAAAGATGGAATAAAGACACAGAGTAAAGACAGAATAAAGATCGAGAGTGCAGAGTACAGAGTAAAAACAAAGTAAAGACAGAATAAAGATCGAGAGTACAGAGTAAAGACAGAGTAAAGAAAGAATAAAGACAGACTAAAGAAAGATAGTAAAGAGAGTAAAGACAGAATAAAGACAGAGAGTAAAGAAAAAATAAAGACAGGGTAAAGACAGACTAAAGAAAGATAGTAAAGAGAGTAAAGACAGAATAAAGACATAGAGTAAAGACAGAGTAAAGACAGAGAGTAAAGACAGAACAAAGATAGAATAAAGACAGTAAAAACAGAGTAAAGACAGAATAAAGACAGAATAAAGACAGAGAGTAAAGACAGAATAAAGACAGTAAAAACAGAGTAAAGAGAGTAAAGACAGAGTAAAGACAGAATAAAGACACAGAGTAAAGACAATTAAGATCGAGAGTACAGAGTACAGAATAAAGACAGAGCAAAGATACAATAAAGACACAGAGTAAACAGAATAAAGATCGAGAGTACAGAGTAAAGACAGAGAGTAAAGAAAGAATAAAGACAGAGTAAAGACAGAATGAAGACAGACTAAAGAAAGAGAGTAAAGACAGCGTAAAGACAGAGTCAAGACAGAGTAAAGACAGAATAAAGACAGAGTAAAGAGAGAGAGTAAAGACAGACTAAAGACAGAGAGTAAAGACAGAATAAAGAAAAAGAGTAAATACAGAGTAAAGACAGACTAAAGACAGAGAGTAAAGACAGACTAAAGAAAAAGAGTAAAGACAGAGTAAAGACAGCTTAAAGAGACAGAGTAAAGACAGAATAAAGACACGGAATAAAGACAGAGTAAAGACAGGATGAAGACAGAGACTAAAGGAAGAGAGTAAAGACACAGTAAAGACAGAATAAAGACAGACTAAAGACAGAGTAAAGACAGAGAGTAAAGATGGAATAAAGACACAGAGTAAAGACAGAATAAAGATCGAGAGTGCAGAGTACAGAGTAAAAACAAAGTAAAGACAGAATAAAGACAGAGTAAAGACAGAATAAAGATCGAGAGTACAGAGTAAAGACAGAGAGTAAAGAAAGAATAAAGACAGACTAAAGAAAGATAGTAAAGAGAGTAAAGACAGAATAAAGACAGAGAGTAAAGAAAGAATAAAGACAGGGTAAAGACAGACTAAAGAAAGATAGTAAAGAGAGTAAAGACAGAATAAAGACAGAGAGTAAAGACAGAGTAAAGACAGAGAGTAAAGACAGAACAAAGATAGAATAAAGACAGTAAAAACAGAGTAAAGACAGAATAAAGACAGAGAGTAAAGACAAAATAAAGACAGAATAAAGACAGAGAGTAAAGACAGAATAAAGACAGTAAAAACAGAGTAAAGAGAGTAAAGACAGAGTAAAGACAGAATAAAGACACAGAGTAAAGACAGAATAAAGATCGAGAGTACAGAGTACAGAATAAAGACAGAGCAAAGATACAATAAAGACACAGAGTAAACAGAATAAAGATCGAGAGTACAGAGTAAAGACAGAGAGTAAAGAAAGAATAAAGACAGAGTAAAGACAGAATAAAGACAGAGTAAAAACAGAGAGTAAAGAGAGTCAAGACTGAGAGTAAAGACAGAATAAAGACAGAGAGTAAAGAAAGAGTAAAGGCAGAGTTAAGACAGCATAAAGACACAGAGTAAAGACAGAATAAAGACAGAGAGTAAAGACAGAATAAAGACAGAGAATAAAGAGAATAAAGACGGAGTAAAGACAGAATAAAGACAGAGTAAAGACTGAGTAAAGACAGAGAGTAAAGACAGAGTAAAAACAGAGTAAAAAGAGTAAAGACAGAGTAAAGACAGAATAAAGACAGAGACTAAAGGAAGAGAGTAAAGAAAGATAGTAAAGACAGAGTAAAGACAGAGTAAAGACAGCGTAAAGACAGAGTAAAGAGAATAAAGACAGAGAGTAAAGACAGAATAAAGACAAAGTAAAGACAGAGAGTAAAGACAGAGTAAAGACAGAATAAAGACAGAGAGTAAAGACAAAATAAAGACAGAGAGTAAAGACAGAATAAAGACAGAGAGTAAAGACAAAATAAAGACAGAGAGTAAAGACAGAATAAAGACAGAGAGTAAAGACAGAATAAAGACAGAGAGTAAAGACAGAGTAAAGACAGAATAAAGACAGAGAGTAAAGACAAAATAAAGACAGAGAGTAAAGACAGAATAAAGACAGAGAGTAAAGACAGAATAAAGACAGAGACTTTAGAAAGAGTAAAGAAAGAGAGTAAAGACAGTGTAAAGACAGAGTAAAGACAGAATAAAGACGGAGTAAAGACAGAATAAAGACGGAGTAAAGACAAAATAAAGACAGAGTAAAGACTGAGTAAAGACAGAGAGTAAAGACAGAAGAATAAAGACAAAGTAATGACAGAGAGTAAAGACACAATAAAGACTGAATAAAGACGGAGTAAAGACAGAATAAAGACAGAGTAAAGACTGAGTACAGACAGAGAGTAAAGACAGAATAAAGACAGAGTAAAAACAGAGAGTAAAGAGAGTAAAGACAGAGTAAAGACAGAGACTAAAGAAAGAGAGTAAAGAAAGATAGTAAAGACAGAGTAAAGACAGCGTACAGACACAGAGTAAAGACAGAATAAAGACAGAGTAAAAACAGAGAGAAAGAGAGTAACGACAGAGTAAAGACAGACTAAAGGAAGAGAGTAAAGAAAGATAGTAAAGACAGAGTAAAGACAGCGTAAAGACACAGAGTAAAGACAGAATAAAGACAGAGAGTAAAGACAGAATAAAGACAAAGTAAAGACAGAGTAAAGACACAGAGTAAAGACAGAATAAAGACGGAGAGGACAGAGTACAGAGTAAAGACAGAGAGTAAAGACAGAACAAAGATAGAATAAAGACAGTAAAAACAGAGAGTAAAGACAGAATAAAGACAGAGTAAAGACAAAATAAAGACAAAATAAAGACAGAATAAAGACAGAGTAAAGACAGAATAAAGACAGCGTAAAGACACAGAGTAAAGACAGAATAAAGACAGAGAGTAAAGACAGAATAAAGACAGAGAGTAAAGACAGAATGAAGACAGAGACTTAAGAAAGAGTAAAGAAAGAGAGTAAAGACAGTGTAAAGACAGAGTAAAGACAGAATAAAGACGGAGTAAAGACAGAATAAAGACAGAGTAAAGACTGAGTAAAGACAGAGAGTAAAGACAGAAGAATAAAGACAAAGTAATGACAGAGAGTAAAGACACAATAAAGACAGAATAAAGACGGAGTAAAGACAGAGAGTAGCGAGAGTAAAGACACAGTAAAGACAGAATAAAGACAGAGACTAAAGAAAGAGAGTAAAGAAAGATAGTAAAGACAGCCTAAAGACACAGAGTTAAGACAGAATGAAGAAGGGGACTTAAGAAAGAGTAAAGAAAGAGAGTAAAGACACAGAGTAAAGACAGAGACTGAAGAAAGAGAGTAAAAAAAGATAGTAAAGACAGAGTAAAGACAGCGTAAAGACACAGAGTAAAGACAGAATAAAGACAGAGGGAAGACAGAGAGTAAAGACAGAATGAAGACAGAGACTAAAGAAAGAGGAAAGACAGCGTAAATACAGAGTAAAGACTGTAAAGACACAGAGTAAAGACAGAATAAAGATGGAGAGGACAGAGTACAGAGTAAAGACAGAGAGTAAAGACAGAACAAAGATAGAATAAAGACAGTAAAGGAAAGGACGAGACAGAGTAAAGACGAGAATAAAGACAGACAAAGTAGATAAAGGCAGTAAAAACAGAGAGTAAAGACAAAATAAAGACAGAGTAAAGACAAAATAAAGACAAAATAAAGACAGAATAAAGACAGAGTAAAGACAGAATAAAGACAGAGAGTAAAGACACAATAAAGACAGAGAGTAAAGACGGAGTAAAGACGGCAAGTAAAGACAGAGTAAAGACAGAGAGTAAAGACAGAATAAAGACAGAGTAAAGACCGAGAGTAAAGACAGAATAAAGAAAGAGTAAAAACAGAGAGTAAAGACAGAATAAAGACAGAGCAAAGACAGAATAAAGACAGAGTAAAGACAGAGTAAAGAAGAAAGTAAAGACGGAATGAAGACAGAGAATAAAGACAGAGTAAAGACAGAGTAAAGACAGAATAAAGACAGAGAGTAAAGAACAGAGTAAAGACGGAATAAAGACAGAGTAAAGACAGATCAGACCTGATCCAGACTGTGTGTGTACACTGTGTTCCAAATGACTAAGCAAATATGACTTGAATTAAAGAAACATTTGATTTTTTGTTTTTCCAATGAAGCTCTTAATTGTTTGCTTCCTGTCTGTTTAGATCGTGACATCAGTCTCAGACAGGTTTGTCTACATTAGTCTTCCAGGTAGTCTAATTAATGGGAAACTACTTAAGGAGGTTGTTCCACATTATTAAGCAAGCATTGTCATCATTGGTAATTGTGTTTAATAAAATCCAGATTACCATATAATTGTTGAGGAATAAAAAATCTGACTGAATTATATCGACTATTTAGTAAGAAAAAGAACAAGAACAGTATATGCAGAATAATTTGGAACACAGTGTAGGAAGCTTACCTGACTCCTGACTTGAAGAGCTCTATAAGGTGGTCCTTATCGTCCTGGTCCTCCACCCAGTAGACTGAAGGGATGACGAACTCTGAGGCGACTCGACACTCTGGACATGCCCTGAGAGACAGAGAAACCTCTCAGACCCTGTCCCAGACTCCCAGACCCTCTCAGACCCTGTCCCAGACTCTCAGACCCTGCCCCAGGCCCTCTCAGACCCTGTCCCAGACTCTCAGACCCTGCCCCAGACTCAATGATCCTCTCAGATCCGGTCCCGGACTCTGTGAACTCTTACTTGATGATCTTGTTGCTGAAGTTTCGGGTGCAGCGCCACTTTCGGATGCAGGACAGACAGAAGGTGTGACAGCAGGAGGACAGAATGCCGAACCTCCGGTCTGACGGGTTCACCTTCTGGACCACCACCTCCATACAGATGGAGCACACCTGAACAACAACAACAAAATACAACAACAAGAGTTACTGGTACTAAACAACAACAACAAGAACAACAACAACAACAACCTAAGCAGTCTGAATGAACCCACCTTGTCCTGACTCAGCTGGGCTGCAAACGCCTTCTCCATGTCAGCCTCAAAGGCTAGTAGACACATCTGTAGGCAGACAGACAGACAGAGATAGAAACATAGACAGACAGAGAGACAGACAGGTGTTACAGCCGATAAAAACTGGCCTGTACAAACAGAATATGAATTATAATCATTTATTATAATAAGTGCTGTGAATTAAGGGTCTATTACAATACAGTAAGAGGGGGGGAGGGGGAGACAGGATGAGAGACAGGAGGAGGAGGGAGACAGGAGGAGGTAGTAGGAGAGATGAAAACGTTCTGTAACTGTAACAAAGTGATGAAATAATCTCAAAGAAAGAAGAGCTGCAGGTTTACAGGATGATTCACAGAACCAGCGGACTGTCCCTTTAAATTCAATCAGATACATTAAAACAGATTAAATAAATGAAATTAGATACATTAAAATAATGAAAAGAAATCAAATAGATTAAATGAGATAAATTAACTGAATTGAACTAATTTTAAAAGAAATTAAAAGAACGTGCACACCTTCTCGTGCGCTCTCCTCTGCTCAGGGTCGTGGGGGTGGAGCACTTGCAGCCCACACACCTCACACAGGTCGCCATGGAGATACGTGCAGTTGTCTTCGTAGTAACAGTGCCCTGCGGCAGCGTAGGGACACAGCTGGGGGAGGTCCTGGTAAGCCCCGCCCACTGGGGGAGGGGCTGCAGAGAGAACAGTTGTTATTACATCACAGTCAACAACCAGCCAATCAGAAGATGGTATTTTTCTGTATCCGACCTTGTTCCTGCGCTGAAGCTTCCAGACCCGTCCTGATGGCGTCCACGTACGACTGAGGAGCTGCTGCTGCTGCTGCTGCTGCTGTGACCTCTGACCCCAAACTGTCTCCTGGACCCCCGAACATACTGTCTACAGGCAGGACTGAGAGACAGACAGGCAGAGAGACAGTTATAGTATATATATATATATATATATATATATATAACAGCACATTTATAAAAATATATATCTGTACTTTTGTTATTGAATGAGTGAACAGCAGTGGGCCGAGCACGCTGCCTTGAGGAGCTCCATCACAGTAAAGAACTAAAGATCCATTTGTTTGAATATAATTCAGCGAGCGTATAAACCTTTCTGGCCCCACCCATTATGAGACATCACTTTACAGACAGCTGAGACACCTTACAGGCAGCCATACAGGAAGTGACACCCTACTAAACTCTGCAGGTGAACATTTCCAACATGGCCGATGTGTCTGAGTGTGTCAGTCACCTCTTTCTTTGAGGACCAGGGTCTTCTTCACTCCACCTCTGACTGAAACCCCGCCCCCAGCTCCTCCTACACCTGCCTGATCCTCTGAAGCTCCTCCTCCTCCTCCTCTGGATGAAGATTTGATGTGGTCGTACCTGCACACAAGAAGTGATGTAACCACTAACAGGAAGTGACGTTACTGCTTCACCTCTAGCTGGTTATAGAAAAGGGTATGACAGGCGCTACCTGTCAGTCAGGTGAGTGTTACCTGTCAGTCAGGTGAGTGTTACCCGTCAGTCAGGTGAGTGTTACCCGTCAGTCAGGTGAGTGTTACCCGTCAGTCAGGTGAGTGCTAGCCGTCAGTCAGGTGAGTGCTAGCCGTCAGTCAGGTGAGTGCTACCTGTCAGGTGAGTGTTACCTGCAGCGTTCTCCATAGGCACACACTCCTCTCTGGTAGAACTTGCAGATGGTGGAGGGTTTACTGTTGGTCGGGTCGTGAGAGAACAGGCAGCGGCTGCCCTCCCTGCACACACCGTGGAGGAAGTACCTGAAACACAGTACACCTGTTACACCTGCTGCAGAATCCCCAGCCTTCAATAAATGCATCACCATAGCAACAGAAAAAACCTGCTCTGTGATTGACAGTTCATTAGCAGTTGCCATAGAAACAGTATAGATGCTTTAGACATTATCTACATTGACTGAATGTTTGCTGATCAATAAGTTTATATAGTATGGAACCTGAGTCATGTTTGTCTCAAACTGTTTAACTTTAGGTTAAATAAACTGCATCCATACAAATCTATTATTATTATTTATATATTATTATTAGGGACCGAGCCAGTATCCACTGAAAGGTCCCTATTGTTTTTGCTAAAGTTATTATTATTTTTAGCCCCCTTCAACTGCATTTGTGCCCCCCTGAACATATATGAAAGCTCAATTTTATTTAGCAAAGTTGTCAGGCCTGGTGAAAAACGTTATAATCTATGCGTCACTTTCAGATCGGCCACTAGGTGGTGCTACTATTAAGAAAAGTGTGTTTAGGCTAATAACTCCCGCATAGTTTGTCACACATTCAAAAACCCTATATCCACACGTTCGGTGAATGGAGCTGAATCTCCCCATATAGGCGATGCCCACTTCCGCCTATAATTGTTTTTTGCTAGAGCGGGAAATGTCCAATAACTACGTTTTCGTGTTCCATCAATGCGCTTTTGTCAGATTCACACAAAACTTTTTATGTAGCATCTGGAGACCGTCCTGGCAAAAAAAGTATTTTAAAGTATTTCGATATTTAAAAAAAACGTTATAAAATTAAGACTTCCTGTAGATTTTTCGTCAAAAAAGGAAGTGGAGCATTTCTCCACATTGGTATGTCCGATTGACACCAAACAGATAGTACTCACAACTTAAGTGTACGTGGTCCAATCTCAATGAAACTTCACGTTTGATAAGAGTCCCGCCCTGAACACATCTACATGACAATATTCAGATATAGTGATAGCGCCACCTACTGGCAACAGGAAGTAAGCGCTGCGTGGCAACTTTGATTTGATTTACGTGACATTTTCATTTTTCAATTATGACGGAACGTGACGCGGCCGCAGCACACCCCGAGCTGCGTGGAGTGCAAGGTCCCGCCCAACACTGCTTGCAGCTTTTATTATTATTATTATCATCATTATAGTATTATTATCATTATTGTATTATTAATATTGTATTATTATTATTGTATTTTTATTATTAATATTGTATTGTCTTTATTGTATTATTATTGTATTTTAATTATTTATGTATTATTATATTATTATTGTATTTTATTATTATTAATATTGTATTATTATTATATTATTATTGTATTTTATTATTATTAATATTGTACTATTATTATTATTATTATTATTGTATTGTTAGATTATTATTATTAATGTATTATTATATTATTAATGCTCCACTATCAGACTGACCTACAGCAGGTCCACCTGTCAGTGAACTGAGCCCTAATGTTCTGCTGTTGGAAAAATGGAGGGAAACGTCCTGTTCGACTCTACAACCACAACTAATGTGCGGACTGCTAATGTTAGCTTGAACCACCGGTTCCAGTGGATCCTCAGTGGAGTCAGACATTGGTACGATGTAAGTAAGTAAAGCTTTATTTCTATAGCACCTTTTTAACACACAGATCCAAAGTGCTTTACCAACAACAAATAAACATCAGTGTGTAACCATACCCAATCAAACATAGGGAGCATGTAAATACAAACAAAGGAAGATAAAACAAGAGGGAAGAATAAATTAAAAGAGAGACGACAGAGGAGATCTATAAAAGGTCTGTAGAGGATTAAAACCACAGATTGAGTGAATCTGAGTGATTGAGGAAGATTCCACGATGTTGGGGCTGAAAGTTTAACAGTCAGAGCGGGGAATGGATAAAAGGTTGAGGTTTGAGAAGTGAAGAGGCCGAGGAGTGGCATGAGGACGGAGGAGATCTGAAATGTAACTGGGGGTCATGAAGTGTTTTATATGTAATCAGTAAGATCTTATAATTGAGTTTTACAGGAAGCCAATGAGGGATGTGAGAACAGGAGTAATGTGGGACCGACAGCTGGTTCTAGTTTAACCCTTGAGGCACCAAACGTGTACATTCTGCCTTTTTGACTTGTTTGATTCTCTATATCCGTTTAAAGGCTAACTGTATGAAACTTGGCCAGGATTTGTTTTTTATTATTATTTTTAAATTTCCATGATCCCCTCTATTGTAAGGTGTACTATACAATTATCATTATCTATACCTACACCCTTTCACCTCGGGCCCAACTTGGACACATTGACTCCCACATATTTTTGATATACTGTAATCTTGACATATTATAATGCTTTTCCCATGAATACCTAATAAATCCAAGCCACTACCTTCAAAATACATGGAAAACAGGTTTTAGGTCAGGGGCACCAGAGTTTCATCACATAAAGTTTCAATGGAGGCCTAGTTCTCTTACCTTGTAAAATGCATGGCAATAAACACCATAAAAATGGTCTTGGTATGTTGGGAGAGATATAAAATAGTGTGTGTGTGTGTGTGTGTGTGTGTGTGTGTGTGTGTGTGTGTGAGTGGTGAGAGAGTGAGTGAGTGAGTGAGTGAGTGAGTGAGTGAGTGAGTGAGTGAGAGAGAGAGAGCGCGAGCGAGAGAGAGAGAGAAATTTGAATCAAAGGCCAAATGAGCTGTTTATGTTTTTTCCTGATCAAGAGAGAGCCTCCTCTCTCCTATTGGATGCTTGGTATAGGCTGTTTATGCAGGTGAATGTTAGAAGTGTGTGAGAATAGTTGGAATGGTAAATGGATCTGTACTTGTATAGAACCTTTCTAGTCTTCAGACCACTCAATGTTCTTTTACCCTCCTGAGACCTGAGCTTTTGTTTGGGGTGCATTTTCAATTTCTCCTAGCTATTTTGGATTAGTAGGACCTGATAGATGTAAAAACAAGCATTGTTTTTGAACAATTTGTAGTTTTCACATAAAATGATGTCCTCATATGAGGAAATCAGGCTTTTTTTTACTATAAAACTATGTCCCCATATGAGTATGCAGGGTTGCAGGAGGCTATATTACAGCCAGGTTCCCGCCAGTGCCCTGCAGCTCAGTGGAGGAAGAGGAGGAGGAGGAATTAGAGTTGGAAATGGAGGATGACACTCTCCATGGAGATAAAAAAAAATGGGGAAATCTTATGGTCCCCGACACATGGAGAGTCCCTGCCATTTGCCCGAAGCCAGGTCCATGGTCAGGAGGAGGAAGAGGAGGAGGAGGAGCCACAGCCAAGCCCTCCAGAAAGCAGAGGCAGTGTGTCTGGTGCCCACAGCACAGAAGGGTTTGGTCAAAAGTGCGCCAAATGGTAATGGTAAATGGACCTGTACTTGTATAGCACCTTTCTAGTCTTCCGACCACTCAAAGCGCTTTTACACTACGTGCCACATTTCACACAGTGATGGCAAAGTCCATCGAACAGAAACTAACATTCATACACATTCACACACTGATGCACGGCATCAGGAGCAATTTTGGGGGTTCAGTATCTTGCTCAAGGATACTTCGACATATGGCACCAGGAGCCGGGGATCGAACCCACAACCTTCCGATTAAGGAACAACCCGCTCAGCCTCTGAGCCACAGCCACATGCATGTGAAACTTCAAATCAGTGGTTTATGCCTTGAATTGTGAACACACGCAAAAGACACATGACATCTTATGACAAAAGGGGCATAAAAAAATAAAAAATATTTTTAAAACTATAAAAATCTTTGGTTAGGTCTGAAGTGGCTGAAAAGATTTGATGCAGTGAAAGTGGAAAAAAATATCATTATATGACATTTTTATTACACTTTTATGAGGGACCATTTTGGGTCCCCAGGTTCAAATTTGTATGCTCGTTTTAAAAGGTGCCTCAAGGGTTAAAGGTCACTGGAGGACAGAAACTTTAGATTTATTTGGTAGCAGCAGGACACAGGACAGACAGTTTGGTTAGATGGAGAAAACTAAGAGACACCCAGTGTTTGGTGGACAGATGATAACAGTAGATGTGTTTATACATTATATATATCTATATATAGATATAGATATATAGATAGTGTCCTGAGATAACTTCTGTTATGAATTGGCGCTATACAAATAAAATTGAATTGAAAAATTGAATATATATAGACAAGCCCCTACATGGCACGTACCACCACCAAATTAAAGAAGTGGCTGATATGGAGAAGACCTACCAATGGCTGGAAAAGGCTGGACTCAGAGACAGCACAGAGGCACTGATCATGGCAGCACAAGAACAGGCCCTAGGTACAAGAGCCATAGAGGCCAAGATCTACAAGAGTAGATCTGACCCAAGGTGCAGACTATGCAAAGATGCCTCTGAGACAGTCCAGCACATAGTAGCAGGGTGTAAGATGCTAGCCGGGTCAGCGTACATGGAGAGACACAACCAAGTGGCTGGAATAGTGTACAGGAACATCTGTACCCAGTATGGAATAGAAGAACCCAAATCCCAAGGGGCCGCACCACAGAAGGTGGCTGAGAACAACAGGGCCAAGGTGCTGTGGGACTTCAGCTTCCAGACTGACAAACAGGTCCTGGCCAACCAACCAGACATAGTGGCGGTAGACAAGGAGCAGAAGAAAGCGGTGGTGATAGATGTGGCCATACAGCAGACGCCAACATCAGAAAGAGGGAACACGAAAAGGTTGAAAAGTACCAAGGGTTGAAAGAACAGCTGGAGCAGATGTGGAAGGTCAAGGCGAGCGTGATCCCCGTGGTAGTAGGAGCACTCGGGGCAGTGACCCCCAAACTGGGGGAGTGGCTCCAACAGATCCCAGGAACAACATCAGAAGCCTCAGTCCAGAAGAGCGCAGTCCTAGGAACAGCTAAGATACTGCGCAGAACCCTCAAACTCCCAGGCCTCTGGTAGAGGACCCGAGCTTGAGGATGACACAGATACCACCCCAAGAGGGTGAGAGGGAAGTTGTTTTTGTATATATATATATATATATATA